CCACACTTAGATCATACACCCATGTCTTATGTTTTAAGTACTGAATTTTTTCACATAATTGTCATGTTGTCACAATAGAAATTAAAATGAATAAAGCAAAAAAAAGGTAAACCAATAACTTTAGCTTTTCCTGTTTTTTTGTGTTATTGCTTTATTCATTTTAACTTCCATTGTTTGTATGTTTCAACTGCTCGTTTTCTTTTATTTCTTTGCTCTTGCCATCGATATTGTCTCGGTGCGTAAAGAAAACGAAGTACAGCAGAGTCCCAAAAACTCGGCACTCGATAACCCGGCACTCTGGATAACTCGACCACATCCTGGCAGGGCGAAAAAACTCCTAGTTAGTTTTCATTATACACATCTTTATGTCTCTTAAAGTATATTTTTGAGGTCTGTCTTATCAGGTAAATTACTGTACACTGTGTATTCATTAATTTTCATTTTCATGTAGTAAAGGCTTTATGCCTTCATAAAGGACATACTTTTCCTTTGTTTAAAGGTATTTGGGCAGTTTATTCTCTGTTGTATTCTCAACCAAACAATACATACAAGTTCAGTACAGTATTTTCTGAGGAAACACTCGTACTTATTTTTTTTAACCCCATTCCCGATAACCCGGCATTTTCACAAATTCGGCCACCCTTCAGTCCACATTAGGCCGAGTTTTCGGGACTCTACTGTATTTTTTCATAAATTTTTATTGTCATTTCTTCCCTGCAATTCTGTTTTCTGTATTAAAACGATCATATGACGAACATATCAAACTCAGTTCTTTATANAATTTAATATTAATCTACATTAAATAATTAAAATAAAAGTACGCAAATAAGTTGCGTTGTGTTAAGAAAAATAAATAAATAGTGATTATTTTTTAGTTGAGACGAAATAATTGCATTTTTGATGAATTCATTGCCATTGTATAAATGTGTAATTAACTAAACATGTCTAATATCTAAATATAGTAACCGATTTCCCTTAGTGTATCCGGGTGTCGCCTTACCCAACGGTATATCACTCGTCTTGAAATTTCATCTTGCAAATTAAATTAAGAGTTTTCTACTCGAAACTTTGCGCCCATCACACTTTAATTTCACGCAAATCACCTTGTGTAGCTGGAAAGTCAATTGAATAATTACAAAAAACTAAAAAGCATTAAAATAACTTTATTACAGTAAAGCTGTATTTAATATCTGCCCGTTTATTTAATTATAACGGCGCGACACTTAGGAGATCTGCCTAGTCGAGACANTAATAAAACTTTGAATTTTATAGTATTCAAATGATAATTTTTTAGAATTCTTTAGTACTTGTTAGTAAGTAAAAATAACTAAGTTATAAGCACACAGATTCTAGTAAAGAGTCTACGACTAAAGAAATCAGTTACATAAGTCATACCGCCTATAGGTTAAGTCGTATCTAAGAATAAAATTAAACAGAACAACTGAAGCTAATATTTCATAAGTAATGTATTTAAATACAAATATTTTTATTAGGTCACTGTCGCATATTTAGTTATTACAAACATCACAAACATATTTTTATAATATTTGTCAATTACAGCACGTAGATCATTCACCCATGTCTTACGTTTAAGCACGGAATCTTGTTTTCTTCATGATTTTCTGCACAAAAATTATTAGACCAATGGCTTTTTTTGGCTTTATTTATTTTAATTTCCATTGTTTGTATCTTTCAACTATTCATTTTTTTTATTTTTTGCTCTAGCCATTGCGGTTGTCTCTGGAGTGCGTAAAAAAAAGAAGGATTATTTTTCATAAACTTTTTTGTCATTTCTTCTCTGCAATTCTGTTTTCTGTATTAAAAAGATTTGGTAATTTATATTTTTCGCCAATTGAAGCTCCAGTTTTCATAGTTCAGCTGCATTAAGCCCGAAGATATATGATTGTAAAGAAGATGATTAACTAACTCTTTCCACATATTTTCTGTCAGAACTTTAAGTCTTTCGAATTTGATTTTCTCGTTTAATTTTCGTAAACGACGTCGTAGAGTTGGTTTAGAAATTTTATATTATCAGTTTGCTTAATTAAATCCAATATCACTACTGTTTAATTTGTTTAACGCCTCGTTCATACAGTTTCTGATTAATATAAAGCGTTTTGCCATGTTTGTGATCAATATTAAAACAAAATGCATCAAAATTAAAACAATAATTATATCTTTTTGAATGTTATGTTTTGAGGCCGGATGGTCGACCTGTCAAGGTGGCGAACTACCGCTTTGGGGACCCAGAATCGAATCCGGACGTGTCAAATAATTTCCAGCAAGTTTTTGGGTGGTCCATTCGGATATATCGGGCTCTGTCTTTTCCCACTCGGCCCATTACGAACCTGGCCGAACCCATAATGGGCTTGCAAAAAGAGATTCTTTTAGTGCTTACAGGGCAAAAAGAGTTAACAAAAAAAAGTAATGTACTGTACTGTTTTGTGTAATTCTTGATTTTTAATGACGATGAAATATTTTACGAATTTCCTAGTTTTTTGGAATAATTAATAATCATAACATTGAGATAAAAGTGATTAAATTTCACCAAAAATTCACGTTAAAGTAAACTTGGTCACTTTGCAGTTGCGGATCGAGTGAAATTTAAAGGAAAACAAATAATGAATTTATTCTGATTAATTTTTATTTCTGTATGAATAAAATTTACTAATTAGTTATACTAAACTGTTTGCTATTAGAAGAGAATGCTGCAAATTATATGATTTTTCGAACCTTTGCTCCAGAGCAATTGTAGAAAAAATTCGCAAGTGTAGAAAAAATTAATAAGAAAACAATGCTCGGTAATGCTTTTTCTAAAATGTTTTGAAATACTTATAGTGTATTAAGTTTATTAAGTTTTATACTCGTGATTACAGATTTAGAAATGAATCTGCAAATAATTGCAAACTTGTGTAATTTGCAACGCATTGCGACATTTGGGAAATCACTTTGATAAATTCTGCTGAGAGTGAATTAGGGTATATCAGTTAATAAAATTGGGCATATCCTTCTGATAACATTGTTTACTTAATTCCATATTTATATTAAGACAACAAATTCATTTGCTGGATCATCAACAATGCAATTATTCCACATCAATTAAAGAATGATTTATGTTCACTTACTCCGACTCAGCCTCTTAAGCAATATATTAGATACACCCAACACACCNTTAATATACTAGATACACCCAACACACCTTATTGCTGAGAACATATATTTATTAAACAAAACAAACGTTTTCAACCCAATTTATGGGCCATCGTCAGGTTAACATTGTTCGACTCTAATACAAAATCGAACACGTTCAAAATTAACCAAATTAGAACATAGGTTTAAATTAAACCAATAGAACATGCTTAACCACAATAAAATAATAAATAATAAACTAAAATATCACACAAAAAACGAAAATAAAATATGGTGATTAACCGTACACACTAAGTACCAATTCTTTCTACATTAACCCAGATATCTATTGAGTCTCTGCAGGTGTATTATTACGCGTGTTTTTTCTTACTATGTATTTCCACGATGAAGGTAACACTGTCGCATCCTTGTAATTTAAACATCTATCCGTTAAACTTGCCCTGTATATTTCACATTTTTCAGTTATGGACGAGAGCGTTGGTGAGTGCACTTTCGCAAGGATTTTGGCATCTTCCCATTTAATAACAGAACCTTCCGTTTGTGCCATTTTGGATAATGCTGTTACACACTTATTCTTTGCGACATCGTATTTATGTTCTTTAATCCTCACACCAAGGTTTCTGTTAGTGACCTTTACGTAGTCTTTATCAATTCCCAACTGGTCATTTTTGTATGGAATCGCATACACACCTGGGTGCTCATTATCATCCATTTTTTCTTTGTCATTTCTAATCAACCTATACAGTGTGGGGGCCCTTTTGTATACTGGTGTGTATGCGATTCCATACAAAAACGCAACACTTGAGCGATCTGTCTATGGGGGATGCTTTCCGGGAGGTGTTTTTAAGGGAAACTAGCCCCAATTTAGACGTTACAAATGTGGAGAAAACCCGGAAAACTCCACGTGACCAGCCCGTCCGAGCGAGGCGTGAACCCATGACNACATTAAAATGAATTTATTACAGAAAAATATATTTAATGTCTGCCAATAAAATGAATATGCATCTACTGAGTTTACGATCATGCGGATATATGCAATGTCAAATACAATAAAAATCCTGACATGTGGTTCAAAACCGTATCTACAGTAATTATTTATTCACGTTTAGCATAAATATTTTATTACCCTTAACATATAAATTAGTTTTTAGTAATAAAATAAACATTTAACTGTTTTATGCATAAAGTATTTAATCGAAATAATAAAATGATATATCTGAATTATGTGTCGTCACAAAAGTACACTTATTAAAAACGGATTAATTAATTTTTAATAATATTTCATGTAAAAGAAGTTGAATGAAAAAAGTAAATTAAATTCAATTAAACATTGTTTTTTCAGTCGATAAAAATTAATTTCAATTTAATCACTAAGAAACACTTATAAAGATTTCCTCCCACCGTAAATACAATTAATCCACATAAAAAGTAATTGTTTGTTCATAAAATAAAGCAGATAACAGATACCTGTAATAATATACAAGTAAATGAATACAGAATATTTCATATTATATCTTATGATTTCAACTATCGAAAACGAATGAAATAATGCCACACTATGCATTCGAGTGTTACCAAGTTTCCTATAAATGCAATGACAATAACAGACGAGTGTTGTGAATACAATGAATAATAATAATCGTTGTTTCTGAATTTAAAATAAACAATGGTTTCCTCGCTGAAATAGATATTAATTGCACAAACATACCAGGAAGTTCGTAATATTTAACTACTGCTCATAAAACATCTGGAATTACACAGAACATATGTGAGAATTGACCAATGAAAGAAGACAGCACTGTGTTGAATAGGTATAAATATGAACAAAATCGAGAGAATTTCAATTCACACTGCTCATCTTTTAGTCCAGATTTCAAGAGAGAACTGAAAACGAAAATGAAACTTTTTATCTTGATCGTCGCTTCTCTGCTGATAATAGGTGAGAATTGTTTACATAAAACTTTTGCACATTGATTTTGTAATTGAAAATTAATCAGTGAATCACCCCTCATTGAATGTTTGATTCAAGTTTAGACAGACTTTGAGTTATAAGAATATTTGATTTTATACTAAGATGTTAGTGATTTATAGTATAACAAATTTGATTGGATAAGATGTAAAATCTCTTAATATGTAGACATAATAGAATTCGAGATTATAGAAAAATTCTGTGAGAATAAAAATTAGCTTTAAATTCTGAACGAAAGAGGAAGAGGGGTGACAGGTACACCANGTTGGTGAATTTAAAATAGACAATGGTTTTTTGCTGAAACAGATATTAATTGTACAAACATACCAGGAAGTTCGTAATATTTAACTATTGCTAATAAAAGATCTGGAATTACACGGAACATATGTGAGAATTGACCAATGAAAGAAGACAGCACTGTGTTAAATAGGTATAAATATGAACAAAATTGAATGAATTTCAATTCAAATTGTTCATCTCTAGTCGAAATTTCAAGAGAGAATTGAAGACAAGAATGAAACTTTTGATTTTAATCGTCGCTTCTCTGCTGATAATAGGTGAGAATTGTTTACACAATACTTTGCACATTAATTTTCTAATTGAAAATTAATCAGTGAATTACCCCTCCTTAAATGTTTGATTCAAGTTTAGACAGATTTTAAGTGTTATAGGAATATTTGATTTTATACTAAGAGGTTAGTGATTGATAGTATAACAAATTTGATTAAATAAGATGTAAAATCTCTTAATATGTAGACATAATAGAATTCGAGATTATAGAAAAATGCTGTGAGAATAAAAATTAGCTTTAAATTCTGAACGAAAGAGGAAGAGGGGTGACAGGTACACCATAATAAAAATTTACATACAATCCACGAATAATTAAACAAAATAAGCGTTCTTCTTAACAAAATTTTTACGTGAATGACCTGAAATAAGAAATAATTCGTATTTCTTCTTTTACACAGGAGTCCAGAGTAAGGATGCGTATGGGAAAAGAAAAGACGGAAATGCAATTCCTTGTTTATTGGATAGTAGCTATTGTAATAAGGAGTGCGTTCAACTGAAGGCGAAGTCGGGGTACTGCTATTTTTTGGCTATGTCATGCTATTGTCAGGGACTTCCCGACGACAAAGCTTAATACAAAGCAACTAGTAAATTTAGAGTTTGAAACGATGTCGCAATTGTTTTTCAGTTTGATGCAATTGTAGTCTTATAAAATAAAATTACATATCACTGCACATATTAAATTCAATTGTACATTTTCTTATTCAATCGTGGAAAATTAACTNACATCTGAATTTTGAGTCGTCACACAAGTACACTTATTAAAAATAAATTATTTAATTTTTAATAATATTCCACCAAAAAAGTATTTATTAGACGACTTAAATAATACAGCAACTGTCTAAATGATAAATTGTTAAATTTGTTTTCATCCTGTAGGCATTATAAGAACCTTTTCGGCATGCCCATTGTAGGTTCGACACATACAATAGAACACGATATATCCAAATGAATCAACCCACAAAAAGACTATTTTTATAATGCCAACAGAAAAATATTGAATTTCATATTTTAATTTTAAATTATGAATAACGTTGCACAAATTAAGGAAAAACGAACTACGTTCTCGGTCGATATTAAATGTAATTTCAGTACCGAATTATAAAGTAATTTGTCTAGAACTAAGTGATCAATCCGTCATCTCTTAAGAAATAAATTAATTTTTAATTTCTAAAGTTCTAGAAAAAAAATTCGGTCTGGACCGAGACTATCCGGCAATAGTGTGCCAACTAAACTAATATTATAATTGAAATAAACTAATTCACTTATTTCTAATATCTGTTTAAACATATGTGAGAATTGACCAATGAAAAAAGACTGCGCTGTGTTGAATCGGTATAAATATGAACAAAATCGAGAGAATTTCAATTCACACTGCTCATNACATTCCCTGAAAATAAGACCTAGCGCCTTTTTCAGAGCAAAAATTAATATAAGACACTGTCTTATTTTCGGGGAAACACGGTATCAAATGTAGTATTACTGAAGAAAAGTTTCAAAATGGAAATCTCGGTATGTCAGTCGCCGAGTGGATAAAATTGTCAAATATTAGTAGCGGATGCAAAGTTCGCGCCCAATTAAAGAGGGTGTAGCCAGTAAATTTACCGAGTTTTCTTCACGTGTCGAATATCAAAATTTTGGTCGATTTCTTTTAGTTTACTCTTCTGCCGCCTTTGTTTTCGTAGATCGCTCATGTGTTGCAATTCTTTCTTGGAAATTACATTCAAGCGCTTTCTACTCGAAACCTTGCGCCCATCCCACTTACTTTTTCGGCAAACAATCTTGACAAGCTGAAGAGTCAATTGAATAATTAGAAAACAGTTTATAAAACATTAAAATGAATTTATTACAGAAAAATATATTTAATGTCTGTCAATAAAATGAATATGCATCGACTGAGTTTACGATCATGCAGATATATGCAATGTCGAATACAATAAAAATCCAGACACGTGGTTCAAATTCGTATCTACAGTAATTATTTNATTCATGTTCAGACAGACATTAAGAGTTATAGGAATATTTTATTTTATACTAAGAGGTTAGTGATTGATAGTATAACAAATCTGATTGGATAAGATGTAAAATCTCATAATATGTAGACATAATACAATTCAAGATTATAGAAAAATGCTGCAAGAATAAAAATTAGCTTTAAATTCTGGACGAAAGAGAAAGAGAGATCACAGGTACACCATAACTAAAATTGACATACAATCCACGAATAATTAAACAAAATAAGCGTGCTTTTTCACAAAATTTTTATATGAATGATCTGAAATAAGAAATAATTAATGTTTCTTCTTTTACACAGGAGTTCAGACCAAAGATGGGTATCCGATTGGAAGTGACGGATGTAAATACAGTTGTTTATTTTCTACTGGCTATTGTAATAGAGAGTGCGTTGAACTGAAGGCGAAGTCGGGTTACTGCTATTTTTTGTCTCTGTCATGCTATTGCGAGGGACTTCCCGACAACGCCATAATTTGGGAAAAAGCAACCAACAGATGCAGAGTTTATAAATGATGTCGCAATTGTTTTTTAATTTGATGCAATTGTAGTCTTATAAAATAAAATTACATATTTCTGCAGATATTATATTCAATTGTACATTTTCTTATTCAATGGTGTAAAATTAACTTCAATATAATCACTAAGAAACATAGATTTAATTAATAAAACTTTGAATTTTATAGTATTCAAATGATAATTTTTTAGAATTCTTTAGTACTTGTTAGTAAGTAAAAATAACTAAGTTATAAGCACACAGATTCTAGTAAAGAGTCTACGACTAAAGAAATCAGTTACATAAGTCATACCGCCTATAGGTTAAGTCGTATCTAAGAATAAAATTAAACAGAACAACTGAAGCTAATATTTCATAAGTAATGTATTTAAATACAAATATTTTTATTAGGTCACTGTCGCATATTTAGTTATTACAAACATTACAAACATATTTCTATATTTTTTGTCAATTCCAGCACATAGGTCATTCACCCATGTCTTACGTTTAAGCACGGAATCTTGTTTTCTTCATGATTTTCTGCACAAAAATTATTAGACCAATGGCTTTTTTTGGCTTTATTTATTTTAATTTCCATTGTTTGTATCTTTCAACTATTCATTTTTTTTATTTTTTGCTCTAGCCATTGCGGTTGTCTCTGGAGTGCGTAAAAAAAAGAAGGATTATTTTTCATAAACTTTTTTGTCATTTCTTCTCTGCAATTCTGTTTTCTGTATTAAAAAGATTTGGTAATTTATATTTTTCGCCAATTGAAGCTCCAGTTTTCATAGTTCAGCTGCATTAAGCCCGAAGATATATGATTGTAAAGAAGATGATTAACTAACTCTTTCCACATATTTTTTGTCAGAACTTTAAGCCTTTCGAATTTGATTTTCTCGTTTAATTTCCGTAAACGACGTCGTAGAGTTGGTTTAGAAATTTTATATTATCAGTTTGCTTAATTAAATCCAATATCACTACTGTTTAATTTGTTTAACGCCTCGTTCATACAGTTTCTGATTAATATAAAGCGTTTTGCCATGTTTGTGATCAATATTAAAACAAAATGCATCAAAATTAAAACAATAATTATATCTTTTTGAATGTTATGTTTTGAGGCCGGATGGTCGACCTGTCAAGGTGGCGAACTACCGCTTTGGGGACCCAGAATCGAATCCGGACGTGTCAAATAATTTCCAGCAAGTTTTTGGGTGGTCCATTCGGATATATCGGGCTCTGTCTTTTCCCACTCGGCCCATTACGAACCTGGCCGAACCCATAATGGGCTTGCAAAAAGAGATTCTTTTAGTGCTTACAGGGCAAAAAGAGTTAACAAAAAAAAGTAATGTACTGTACTGTTTTGTGTAATTCCTGATTTTTAATGACGATAAAATATTTTACGAATTTCCTAGTTTTTTGGAATAATTAATAATCATAACANGTATTAAAACGATTTGGTAATTTATATTTTTCGCCAATTGAAGTTCCAGTTTTCATAGTTCAGCTGCATTAAGCCCGAAGATTTATGATTGTAAAGATGATTAACTTACCCCTTCCACATATTGTTTGTCAGAACATTAAGCCTTTTGGATTTCATTTTCTCGTTTAATTTTCGTAAACGACGTCGTAGAGTTGGTTTAGAAATTTTATATTGTCAGTTTGCTTCATTAAATCTAATATCACTACTGTTTAATTTGCTTAACGCCTCGTCCATATAGTTTCTGATTAATATAAAGCGTTTTGCCATATTTGTGATCAATATTAAAACAAAATGAATCAAAATGAAAACAATAGTTATATGTTTTTGAATATTCTGTATTGAGGCCGGATAGTCGAGCTGTCAAGATGGCAGACACCGCTTTGGGGAATACGGACGGGTCAAATAATTTCCAGGAACTTTTCGGGTGGTCCATTCGGTTATATTTGGCTCAGTCTTTTCCCACTCGGCCCATTACGGGCCTGGCCGATCCCATAATGGGCTCGCAAAAAGAGATTCTTTTAGTGCCCACAGGGCAGAAAAAGTTAAGAAAAAAGAATAATGTACTGTACTGTTTTGTGTAATTCTTGATTTTTAATGACGATNACAAAATAAGCGTTCTTCTTAACAAAATTTTTACGTGAATGACCTGAAATAAGAAATAATTCGTATTTCTTCTTTTACACAGGAGTCCAGAGTAAGGATGCGTATGGGAAAAGAAAAGACGGAAATGCAATTCCTTGTTTATTGGATAGTAGCTATTGTAATAAGGAGTGCGTTCAACTGAAGGCGAAGTCGGGGTACTGCTATTTTTTGGCTATGTCATGCTATTGTCAGGGACTTCCCGACGACAAAGCTTAATACAAAGCAACTAGTAAATTTAGAGTTTGAAACGATGTCGCAATTGTTTTTCAGTTTGATGCAATTGTAGTCTTATAAAATAAAATTACATATCACTGCACATATTAAATTCAATTGTACATTTTCTTATTCAATCGTGGAAAATTAACTTTAATTTAATCAGTAAGAAACATAGATTTAATTAATAAAACTTTGACTTTGATAGTATTCAAGTGGCAATTCATTAAAATTCTTTAATACTTGTTAGTAAGTAAAAATATTCTAGCACACAGATTCTAGTAAAGTGTGTTTGGAAATGCGACTGCTCATTTAGTTGACGACTTTTATTGGATATAAATAATGATATTCGGATGACTATATGTTTAATCGGATATAGCAACGTAATGCACGGAGAATCTGCCTTATCTGAAATAATTCTCTGTGGTTAAGTTAGTTGTATTTAATTAATACACCTTAAAAAATCCGTAAAAATTCAGTATAACCCATTGGTTAGACGCGAAACGAGGACCAACTGCAATTATGCAATGGTTTTAGTTGCTCGGTCACTGGTGGACTTTCGTAAGATGAAATCCCGCATTTAAATTTGGCATTGTATCATTTCGGCCATTTATGATTAACGTTAAATGAATTTTTTGTTTATTGAACATTATTTTAATCTTATGGCAGTCATAGTTTTATCGTGGTTTCTATACGCTAGCTACTACATGAAGGGGAAGATTGCTCAAGTCTTGTCCCATGAGAAAAAACAAGTATACATTGTTGAATGTATTGAATAAACCAGGGGTGGCCAACAAGTCGATCGCGATCGACCGGTCTATCACGATGCTAAT